GGTCCATCCCCCAGAGGGGTGTGACTGATGACATATAAGCCTGTGGCCCGCACATGCTCTTTGCACTTGTGTCTTGTGTCTTTGTGTTGCTATTACTCTGTTCTGACTCTCGTGACTCTCCTGGTATCTGATTCGGCTTGTGACTCGACTATTCTTTGTATTCTCCTTTGATCTGACCCTCTGTTGCTGAACCCGGCTCGTGACCTGTGATTCTCCTCTGCTGTCCTGTACTGTTTTGTCCTGTTGTTGTTGACCCGGCCTGTCTGACTACTCTTTTGTCTCTTCCACCAGATACACGCCATTGGCGGCCGCCATTACCTCAGCTGAGGTGTCTCGGGGGGCCGCGACCTGGTTCCTGGCTGCGTCAAGTCCATGCCCACCATCGGGGGCCCTGGTGAAGGGCAGCCTGGGACTTAGACTCCGCGCCCTGAGGGACTTCGGTCTGTGGGTGGTGGTTGTCGTCAGCCAGTGCGTTACATTGTTAGGCCTGCCTGTCCGTTCCTCGGCCCCTGCCCTAACAGGGAGGCAGTCTGCATGTGGCAGGGAAGAGTCTGGACCTAGAAGAGAAGTGCTTAGGACCAGTTCACAGCATTCTGAGTTATCTGCATCAGTCAGGGGAACATCCAAACTGAGAGATGTGGACCTACAATACAGAAGTGCTCATCGTGAGGTGACCAGAGAAGCCTGTCATTTCCAGGACGATCGTTTGGGTCTTAGTCACAGGATCTGGTGAGAGGGATTTTGCCCACTGGCAGATGACAGGAACTCTGCACACATACAGAGACATACAGAGACTTGCCCATACTCACCAGGCACTGGGTTGTGTAGATGGCCCTGCTAAAAAGACACAGTATTTGCTTTGCTATACAAATACTGTCACAGGATTACAATTATACTTTACGATAGGAGTTTAAGTGCACCAACGAAAGTGGTTAGCTGAAGATCCCAAAATTCATCCTGTTACCAAGAGACTGAAATGACTGATGCCATACGGGCACGCGCATGCGTATTCAGTTCTCTATATTGCATGGTGTGTGAGGGAATAGCTTTACCTTGGAAAGTAGCTATTAAGCATCAGTTGGGTACAGTGTTGGTACAGTGTTTGCCTACTAGGCTTGTGGTGTCAGGAGTTAGAAGGGAGAAGTCTGACACAACAGAGAGTCATTCTTCTGCTCTCATCCTGCTTGGACATCATAGAGCCAAATTTATGTAAAGGTTTAGACCCACTTCGAAGTTGCCATTTCAATGTTTGCCTCTGCTCTTGGGGTTATTCATGGTTGGAATCCCCTGAAAGCAGCCTGAGTGTAAAAGTGAGCTATATTGCTTTCGGTCACAGTATTTGCTGTTCTCTTGATTCACCTAACGAATACCCGTTGTTAATGTTTATTTTTATTCCCATAGAGGTATTACAGTAAAGCTTATCTCTGGTTTTATTTTAAAGTGTGTGCTTTTCATTGGTCCGTGCACTTTCACTATTGCCAGGTGTGTCAGTTGGGACTGAGACAGTTCTTGGGGCTGAGAGGCAGAGTGGTGGAGTGAACAAACTTAAGCAGCCTCTTCGGGGGCATAGCTACACATATATATATATATATATATATATATATATATATATATATATATATATATATAATGTTTGAGGATTCAAAGTAATTTTCCAGTAAAAAAAATATTTTTTTCATGTCAACAAAAAGTGTCAGAGAAGGCTTGGTCTTCAAGTGGTTAAAAGAGTGGGTGATGTGTGGCATGAGCTACCAATGTTGACCCTGAAATGCCAGTATAGCAGAAGTACCCCTGCAGATGACCCCTTTTTGGAAAGTAGACACTCCAAGGTATTTGCTAAGGGGCACAAGTTTTTAGAAAATGAAGGAGAATGAAAATGTATTTTTTCTTTTCTTTTTTCTTTTTCAAAAACTTGTGACAAAAAAATGAGATCTGCAAAATACTAACCATGCCTCCTATTAAATAATTCCTTGGGGTGTCTACTTTTTCAAAAAGGGGTCATTTTTGTGTGTGTGGGTGTTATTTGTACTATCCTGGCATTTTAGGGCCTCTGAAACTGTGATAGGTAGTGAGGAACTGACATGAGGAAATATGCCTTTTGAAAGCCTGAATGTGGTCATTGGACTTTGGAAACCTGTAAGTGGCCATGCTGCCAAAATGTCTCTTACATGTGGTATACCCATACTCAGTAGAAGTAGCAGAATGTGGTTTGGGGTGTTATTCCACATATACTCATGGTATGTGTCAGAAATATATCATTTAAGTGACAATTTTGTGTAAAACAAAATTCTGTAATTTTCCAAAAATTTGTGACAAAAAATAAAATCTTCAATGGACTCAACATTCTTCTCAGCAAATTCATTGGGGTGTCTTCTTTCCTAAAAGTTGTCATTTGGGGGGGAGGGTGTTTTGTACTGTCCTGGCTTTTTAGCACCTCAAGAAATCTGAAATCAGTCAGAAATCAGTTAGAAATTAAAAGCTTCGCAAATTACAATATATTTACCAGAGTTTTTACACATAACTTTCACAAAAAACAAATTAATATACACTTATTGGATTTATTTTTACCAAAGACATGTAGCAGAATACATTTTGGCCTAAATTTATGACTAAAATTTAAGTTTTTTGGATATATTTTTTATGACAGAAAGTAGAAATATATATTTTTCAAAAATGTTGGTTTTTTTGTTTATATCACAAAACCCAGAGATGATCAAATACCATCAAAAGAAATTCAAAAATGGAGGAAAAGAAAAAAAAAAGGGGGGGGGGGGGATGCAAATGGACTTTAAAGGCATAGAAACTCCAAACATATATTAGTAAAATCATTTGTACTTTATTATGACAATGAGTCATGAAAAAACATCTTACAGTTTAAAAGAGATCATTATATAATGTCCCCGCAGACAATGTCCCACAACCCACCATATTGCAAGGTACAAATTAGTTATGAGGCATACAATAACCACCAGGAAGATCCCATGGGGGGGGGTGAGAGACATTAATCATTTGTGATGCTTGCCCTGTTTTTGTAGTCCTCAGTCATGCTATAGTATATGTCCGCCTTATGTTTTGTTATTGTATCTATTTTATATATTAATCTGTATGTTATGCTGTCGTAGCATTCACTGCGAGATCACCAATTGTTCTTTATGTATTATTGTTTGTGTGCACCTTGCTGCTGTTTTCCCTCCTGTCATTTAGAGGACCTATGATTGCTCCCCTCTTGTTCCGGTGGGGTTGGGGCCATTCGGTTTGGGCCCAATGTGCGACCAGGTAGCTGCGGTGTCCCCTGTGGCCCCTCCCCTATGGGCCGGACTCCCGTGGCTTGGTTGGGACTAATTTCATCCCTCCCTGTGTGCCTGAGCAAGCCTAGCCCGCTGCGCCAGCTGGCGCATGCATCGCAGCGGCACGCCAGTGTCACCACTGATGGCCGGATGTGGTGACGTCATACATTATAGCGTGGTCGTGCCGCGCCTATTTAGGTCACGGATCTCAGCCGTCCTGTGCCGTTCTTTCCAGGGCTGTTAAGCCCTGCAGGTTACCGGGTATATGTGCCTCAAGGCGCAGATATTACTCCCTTTCCTTTCTTGCATCATGGTTGTTTCCTCGCTGGATAATTGTGCTTATTCCATCAACTAAGCGCCAACATTTTTCATCATTGGTAAGATATTCTGCTGAAGTATCAGGATGAGCTTATATCTATAAATAGCCTATGAGAAAATAAATCTTCTTCTTTTATATTTATGTTCCCAGACCTGCCTTCAAGTAGAAGGCTGGGCCTACTTCTCAGTATCCCCTAAGCTTTTGATGGGCTGGCCCAGGTGTATTATTCAAATTATACCACTGTGACTAGGAATCATCTTGTCGCAATCTTGTATGTTATTATAACTTATGTTATTATACAATTAGTTATTTTTGGGAGACCCGTTTTCTTTCTCCCCCTTCCTCTTTTGGACAGGTACCATATACCAATGATATATATTATAATATTATAGGAAGTGATTTTGTCCGCCCAACTGATATTTCCCTGTTTTTTCAGCTCTTAGACACTAGAGGGCACCCCCCTTTCCTTTCTTTTCTACATCATCTGCTTATTATGAGGAAAGGGACATTTTCCTGCAAGAAAATTTTACCTTCGACATAACAACATCTGTTAAAGGTAATACACAGTTAATTAGTATTACCATTAGAGATGAGCGAATTATTCAAAAATTCGATTCGGCTGATTCGCCGAATTTGCGGGAGAAATTCGATTCGATGCGAATTTATTCGCTGCGAATTTAACTAATTAACAGGGTTTCTAGGCTTCAGAGAGCCTTTATATTAGTGCAGAACACTGTACCTTTAATTTAAATGCCCTTGGAGTCTGCTGGGGAAGAGAAATAATACTGTCAGTCAGTATGACATGCAGATGAGTGCCGTCGATCTTAGAATCACCGCACACTTCACTCATTTGGGCAGTCACGGGGCACGACGAAGAATGAAAAGAAGAATGAAAAGAAGAATGAGAAGAAGAATGAGAAGAAGAATGAGAAGAAGAAGAAGAATGAAAAGAAGAATGAAAAGAAGAATGAGAAGAATGAAAAGAAGAAGAAGAATGAAAAGAAGAATGAGAAGAAGAATGAAAAGAAGAATGAAAGAAGAATGAGAAGAATGAAAAGAAGAATGAGAAGAATGAAAAGAAGGAAAAGAAGAATGAAAAGAAGAAGAAGAAGAATGAAAAGAAGAAGAAGAATGAAAAGAAGAATGAAAAAGAAGAAGAAGAATGAAAAGAAGAATGAAAAGAAGAAGAAATGAAAAGAAGAATGAAAAGAAGAAGAAGAATGAAAAGAAGAAGAAGAATGAAAAGAAGAATGAAAAGAAGAATGAACTATATTACTATATCAGTCTCTAATGGATGCTGGAGAGTTAAACCCCCTAACACCTGCTGTGCCCATTATGAGGGGTTCCCACCATCCCTGTGCTGAGGTTCTGGGTATGCACACCTGCTGTGCCCATTATGAGGGGTTCCCACCATCCCTGTGCTGAGGTTCCAGGTCTGCACACCTGCTGCGCCCATTATGAGAAGTTCCCACCATCCCTGTGCTGAGTTCCTGGGTCTTTACACCTGCTCTGCCCATTAGGAGGAGTTCCCACCATCCCTGTGCTAAATTCCTGGGTCTGTACACCTGCTGTTCCCATTATGAGGGGTTTCTACCATCCCTGTGCTGAGGTCCCAGGTCTGCACACCTGCTGCGCCCATTACTAGGGGTTCCCACCATCCCTGTGCTGAGGTTCTGGGTATGCACACCTGCTGTGCCCATTATGAGGGGTTCCCACCATCCCTGTGCTGAGGTTCCAGGTCTGCACACCTGCTGCGCCCATTATGAGAAGTTCCCACCATCCCTGTGCTGAGTTCCTGGGTCTTTACACCTGCTCTGCCCATTAGGAGGAGTTCCCACCATCCCTGTGCTAAATTCCTGGGTCTGTACACCTGCTGTTCCCATTATGAGGGGTTTCTACCATCCCTGTGCTGAGGTCCCAGGTCTGCACACCTGCTGCGCCCATTACTAGGGGTTCCCACCATCCCTGTGCTGAGGTTCTGGGTATGCACACCTGCTGTGCCCATTATGAGGGGTTCCTACCATCCATGTGCTGAGATTCTGGGTCTGCCCACCTGCTTTACCCATTATTAGGGGTTCCCACTGTCCCTGTGTTGAATTCCTGGGTCTGTATGTACACCTGCTGTGTCCATTGTGAGGGATTCCCACCATTCCTGCACTGAGTACCTGAGTCTGTACACCTGCCAAAAGAAAGTTTCAGGATTTTGAAGGAGCAAAATACAGTAATACTGGAACAAAAATGAGCTGCGTGGTGGAGTTGCCAGAAGAAGAAGAAGAAGAAGAAGAAGAAGAAGAAGAAAAGAAGAAGAAGAATGAAAAGAAGAAGAAGAATGAAAAAAAGAAGAAGAAGAAGAATGAAAAGAAGAAGAGAAGAAGAATGAAAAGAAGAATGAGAAGAAGAATGAAAAGAAGAATGAGAAGAAGAATGAAAAGAAGAATGAGAAGAATGAAAAGAAGAAGAAGAAGAATGAAAAGAAGAAGAAGAAGAAGAAGAAGAAGAAGATGAAAAGAAGAAGAAGAATGAAAAGAAGAAGAAAGAAGAAGAATGAAAAGAATGAAAAGAAGAAGAAGAAGAAGAATGAAAAGAAGAATGAAAAGAAAAGAAGAAGAAGAAGAAGAAAAGAAGAAGAATGAAAGAAGAATGAAAATAAGAATGAAAAGAAGAATGAGAAGAAGAATGAAAAGAAGAATGAAAAGAAGAATGAGAAGAATGAAAAGAAGAATGAAAAGAAGCAGTATTCCAGCACAGCAAAAAGTGTATCTGCAGAGAGCTCCGCTATTTCTGACAGTTCTCTGACAGTTCCTTCACATTTACAGCGGTTGAAACATTGTATCTGTTTCCGAATAAAAACTGTCAGAGAACTGTCAGAAATAGTGGAGCTCTCTGCAGGGACACTTTTTGCCGGCTGATCGGGAAAAATCCGATTTGCGCACCCGAAGTTGGCTAATATTCAGATTCGGCACGAATCAAATTTTTCCTGAAATTCGAAACGAATTCCACTTCGCCTGGTTCGATTCGCTCATCTCTAATTACTATCATTGGGATGACCTAATTTAAGAACAATATTTGAAATTTATATATATATATATATATATACACATTTCTATATGCCTTGTTTTGAGTCTTAGTATATACTCTTTTTCTCTTCCTCATGACTGGTTGGTCTAGACCCTTGGGGCTTTGGACTGTTGGCCATTGTTGCGCCCCCATATCTGGCCTTCTGTATGGCCCTTTACCTTGTGGAAACACAGAGGAGGCCTACCCCTTATGTTTGGAGGGTTCTGCTGCTGCATGGTGCATATTGATACTATATGTAAGTCATATTATATTATTGTATGACCTCCCCATTTTTTGTATTTACATGTTGTAATTTGATATATTCAATGTATATCTTTTTTAGATTTTACTACTAAGCCCATGAAGAAGCGATCATTGTCACGAAACATGTTGGGCCATTCTTCCTGCTGCTTAATGTCTCTCACCCCCCCATAGGATCTTCCTGGTGGTTATTGTATGCCTCATCACAAGTTTGTTCCTTGCAATATGGTGGGTTGTGGGACATTGTCTGCGGGGACATTATATAATGATCTCTTTTAAACTGTAAGATGTTTTTTTCATGACTCATTGTCATAATAAAGTATAAATGATTTTACTAATATATGTTTGGAGTTTCTGTGCCTTTAAAGTCCATTTGAAATTCCCCCCTCCCTTTTTTTTCTTTCCCTCCATTTTTGACTGATATAATTAGGACGTGGCACTAGAATATTACCTTTTTGGGACTGATCTGACACCAGAATACACTCCTCTTTTTTGAACCATCAAAAGAAAGCTCTATTTGTGTGAAAAAAGGACATACATTTCAATTGGCTACAGCATTGCATGACAGTGAAATTACCAGTTGAAATAGCGCAGTGCTGAATAGCAAAAAGGTCTGTTTGGGAAGGGGGAAAACCTTCCAGGGCTGAAGTGGTTAAATATAGTGCTCTTTTAAAGTTGATCTATGTACTATGTTAATATTTCTAACATTCATTTAAACGGGCTGCTGTGCTTCCTGAAATGCAGGGAAAAAGGTCTCTACAGCATTATAGAAATCACAGCCCACACGAGAACTGAAAGTGCAGTGCAGTTCAATTCACAGTGCACAAACATTTTCCAGTCCATCCAGCGTGTTTTTCTGTGTCGAAGGTTGCGGTTGTGGAAACAGGTGTGGACCCGCAGTGGGAACCAACCATACAGATGTGAACCTAGTCTATCACTGCAAACGTGCATGACCTATCCCTCAGTCACACCAATAATACATATAGAGACTGGGTAGTGAGCTTTATTTAGTGGTTAGGCCAATGTTTTCCTGAAAATCTCCTATGGAACAGGGCTTGTATTACCCATATACAGCCAGAAAGCTTCATGAGACACAATTATATTGGACCACAAACTAAAGAAATAACACGAGGATGACATTTACAAATAAATGTCCATCCAACTGTACTATATGTCATTTTCTAGTGGACTACAGCTCAACTTTAGGTAAATCTCGCAGATGTAACATTTTACCTTTTTCTTTTTGCTTTATTTCTTTTGAGAGCTATCATCAGGGGTCCAGTTTCTTTCAATTTTTGTTTACATTAGTCAGTTTTCAGACACATACAGGAGGCTAGATATATTTGGAGTTACATCAAAGAATGCATCTTTGGAACAGTAGTATCTAAGGCCAGCTCACAATTGGCAGACAGGGATCAAATGGCATAATCACAGATACTCTTTCACATACTGTTTTCTGTTTGCTACCAGCTCATGCTGTATAAAAATCCTATTTTTACGGTTCCTGTCTTTGAACGTATTTATTGAACCAGATATGAGAAGCAGCAACACAATATTTTAGTTATTTTTTTATGACAAAATACGTACATCATCCTCTGTTCATTTTAAATTTGTCAGGCAATACCATTAGCATTTTGCCAATGCCACAGCAAAATAGGACTAAGACTGTTTTGCACTTATCCTACTGCAATTTTTAGGTCTCTGGCATTCAGTTCTGCTGTTTACAACAACTATTTTGCTTATGTTAAGCCTTAACATAATTTAAAGTGGTAGTAAACTCTTTTTTTTTAATTTAACATACAGGTAAGTTTATAATAAAGCTTACCGGTAGGCAAAATTAATATCTCCTAAACGTGCACTGTTTAGGAGATATTCTCTCTTTTTTTACACCAGCACATGCACTCTAAAGGAACGGCATGTCCATGCCGTTCCTTCAGAGCTGTGTGCCGTGGCCTAGGACTCTCACGCAGCCACAGCTTGTGAACCCGGAAGGAAGACAGGTGATGATGGAAGCCTCTGTAGCAGTGACAGAGAGCTGCTGGAGAGCTTCTTTTTAAGGTACGTTCTACATAATGTGATGCATACTAGTACATTATGATTCACAGGGGACTTTTTTTTCTCCCCCCTTTCTTGCGGTTTACTACCGCTTTAAGTAAGCAGTTTAAGAAAACATCATATTTAAGGAGATTGGCATGTTAGAGTGAAATGTGTTTTATTAGAATATTAAATGCTTCTGAATTATGAAAGATTTGGATCACATAGTCATTATCCAAGCAAAAAGGCACTGAGTATTCTATTTAAGGTACAATCTGAGTGCTCAGCAATAGCCTATACATTATATATTATACTATATTAGTTTCATACTTGTATGAAAAAGCATCCTATTATCTTTGAATTGCTTCTTTTGTGTGAATTATCTGGTGCTCCTGTCAGCCCCTCCGTTTTCATATTAAAACCTGACCACACTAGGCAGGAGAGCACAGCGTGGTCACTTTCATGGTTGTGCTGGAACTCAGCTTGCTCTCCTCCAATGATCAGTCTTCTGCAGACATGCCCCCCTTCCTGCACAGCCTTTCACTAAGAATATCAGTGTTCTGCTATTTATCCTCCCCCAGGTCTCTAAAATCTTTATGTATAATGTTTTTTCTTTATACAGTATGTATACACACATGTTTTGCCTTTCATTTCTACTTTAAACTGAATGGGTTGTTTTACAAGGGTTTACATATACTTTAATTGTTTTGGAAACTGCAGTTATAATCAATAATACATGCATCATCAGTACATTTTATAAAATAAAACCATATTTTGTCCAATTTTTATGAAGATATTTAGAAAACAATTACATTGTGTTTCTTGACCTGTAAAAATCTACACTTCTTCAACACAAGAATCTTACATACGATAACCTGTTATTAAATATTTGAATAATAAAATGAGCAATTGCTTGATTTGACTTTGCCCTGTAAGAGAAAGAAAATATTCTTTGGGGGGTTTAAAAACACAAAGAACAAAATTGCAAAAACTTTCTTCTTTACCAAGTAAATGACACACATGTCCTCTTTGTGTGCAACAAACAGAACAAACTTACCTTCTCTATCAGATGTCTCCAGAAGTTTCCCTAAAATCCAATTGTGTGATATTCAGAAGAATTAAGAATAACACTACTACTTTTAATGTGTGAGGATTCCAGTTATAAATATGGTGTGTATCAAATCAAAGGTTTTGCTTCCCGTGCTAAATTTAATTTCCCTTATCATGAAATCTGCTTCATACAGGGCCACTGGTCCTCCTGTAGGGGCCCAAGCACACAGGGGGGCCCAAACAGCAGGGGGAATCAGTGTGGCTGGGTGGAGGAATAAATACAGGATACCTTACTTGGCAGCAGCTGAAAGGCAGTTTAACTCCGTCCCACTGGCTTTCAGCTACTGCAGGGAGAGACAAAGACACAGGGCATTGTTCCTGTTATTTTTTCCCTTCACCAATCCCCCCCCCCTGTTCTGC